GCTAGTAAAATTGCAACACCTTTTTTCTGCTTTCCATTTGCCTGGATTATAGACGACCATCCCTTCACCCTGAGTCTATATTTATCTTTTAATGTAAGATGCAATTCTTGAATACAACAGATGTCTGGTCTGAGTTTCTGTATCCAAACAGCCAATCTGTGCCTCTATAGAGGACAATTTAAGCCATTCACAGTGATTGAAATTATTCATAAGCCTGGTGAAATATTGGTCCTCAAGTTGCTTGAAAGTCCAGTAGACATTTTTAATCCTTTTGCCACTGTGGAAGTTGGAGTTTGATCAAAAGTTTCTGGGTGATTTTACTTTTGTGGTGGAGGATTGCACTGGTCATTGTGGATGATAGGTTTGAGAATTTCCTGCAGAGCTGGTTTAGTTATGGCAAATTTCTTCAACATGTGACTGTCATTAAAGTAATTTCTCCATCATAGATGAAACTCAGTTTAGCAGGATACAGGATCCTGAGTTGGAAGTTATTTTGTTTTAGGAGATTAAAAGTCACCGACTTCTTCTAGCCTTTCAGCAGGAAGATCTGCAGTCATTCTAATACTCTACCCCTTGTAGGTTATGGTTTTCTTGCATCTAACTCCTTTCAGAATTTTCTCTTTCATATTAACTTTAGTGAAGTTGATTATGATGTGCCTGGGGGATGTCTTGTTCGGGTTGAGTCGTGCTGGGTTCTGAAACTATCTGCTATCTGAATTTCAGAATCTCTTGGCATTTCTGGAAAGTTCTCTTTCATAATTTCATGAAGAAGAGCCTCTGTGTTTTGTGAAGCAACTTCGTCACCTTCAGGGATTCCTATAAGGCGAATATTAGTTTTCTTTGAATTATCCCAGAGCTCTCTGAGAGAAAGATCCGTTTTTGCTTTCCATTTCTTTTCATCTTTGAGCTCTTGGGCTTGTTCAAAAGCTTTGTCTTCAATGTCAGAGATCCTTTCTTCAGCCTGTTCCATTGTGTTATGGAGAAATTCTACCGTATTTTTCAGATCTTTGAGAGCTACGAACTCTTGCTTCAATGTTTCAAAATCTTTGATCATTTTATCTTTGAAATCATTGAATTCTTGAGAATTATTCTTTTGAATAATTTCTTAAGACATCTTTTGAATAATTTCTTCAGATATCTTTTGAATAATTTCTTGAAGTTCTAGCTCTTTCCTTTCTTCCATTCTGTTTATCTTATTTGCTATCCAAATTCTGAACTCGATTTCTGACATCTCAGCTATCTGTTTATGGGTGGGATCTTCATATGCATCTGCCACATCCTTCCTTGGGGTGGGGCTTGATCTACTCTGGTTATTTGTATTCCTGGAGTTTTTCCACTGATTCCACCCCATGCTGGATTTACTCCATTTGGCTAGGTGAGCAGGTAAGCAGGGTTGGGGGCTCCAGGAGTAGTATTTTACTAGGTCTTTTGGGCAAAGGCTGGGACTGATGTCTGTACCTTTTCCCCTAGAGCTTTGCCAAGGACACATATAGTGCTACAGTCTGAGATCCTGGGGGCCTGCTTGGTGTGGTGGGCTGAGTGTCTCTATTTTGTTTTTGGCTGATCTCTGTTCTACCTTAGAAAATCAATTACTCTGAGTTAAAGTCTCAGCTGTGGAGAAATATCAGTGATTAAGTCACCCCGCCCCTCGCAGGTGACAGTTGGGAAAGGAAAACCACACCTTCCCACAGCCACACCCCAGGGTACTGCTTTGGGATAGTTCTCGGGTGATTGGCCCAGTTCAAGAGATCTAAATCAAGTATCCCAGTCAGCACTAGTCTCAAGTGGGGGAGTTCAAAAGGTCTCTGGCATCTATACAGCAGGGGTCTTCTGGCAGCTCAGATATGACTCACTCCGGTGCTCCGTGGGGTCAGAAGGACCTACCCAGCAAATAAATTTATCTAGAAGGTTGATGCCTCTTTCCCCACCTTGCACCTTTGTCACACCCAATCACTGGAGACCCCGCAAGGCTGTGGTTCAGTTGCCCAATAAGCGAGTATGGCAGGGCTTTTTGTCTGCCAGAGTCAAAGTAGAGTCAATGTCACATCCACTCAGTTACTGCTTTGTCCCCAGCCAGCAATGGGAGCGGAAGCCTGTCTGTCTCAGGCACTCAATGACAGCTGGAGAATGTTCCACCTGAAGTCAATTTAAGCCTGAGAAAATCCAGAGAGCACCAGAGATTCTCCCTCAACCACCAGTTAATTTGCCCAGTTCAAGAGATCCAAACCTATTGACCCGATCAGTACCCACTCTCTAGCTGGAAAGCTCACAAGGTCTCCAGCAACTAGGTAGTAGGAATTTACTGGTAGCTCAAGTGCAGCTCACTCTGATGTTCTGAAGAGTCAGAAAGACCCATTCAGTAGACAATTTGGAGTAAAGAGGCTGCTGTCTCTTTCTCCTCCTTGCTCGCCCTTCACTGCTGGACTACGGTAACCCCAGTCTCTGGTAACCCTACCACCAGTCTCTGTTAACTCAGACTCTGTGGCCCAGTCCTATCCAATAAGTGAGTGTGTCAGGGTTTTGTGCCTGCCAGAGTCCAAGTAAAGTCAATGCCTCCTCCACTTGCTGACCACTCTTTGTCGCCAGCCAGCAGAGGGAGCTGAAGCCTATCTGCCTCAGGCACTCAACGGCAGCTGGAGCATATTCCACTTGGGCTCAATCTAAACCTGGAATTTGTTTTCTTTAAGTCGTGGCTTGCCTCAGTGGAGAAGACGTGCATTTATCTATCTCTTCTCTCAGCTCGGCTCTCCTCCTTCAGCTTTGTTGGGTTCTTTTTGGTGGTTATCTCTCCCCCTGAACTGGAGTTTATGTTGAAAACTAGCTCCAGTCAGTCCTCATCCCCTGTTCCTCCATATTCTTATTGAATGTGAAAATTGGAGTTAGGGAAAATAGCCAACCCAAGGATTTAGCAAAGTATAAAACACATTGAAACCAAGCAAACAATTAAACAGACAAAAATGCTACCAGACATAGAAGTGCACAGATGCACAATCAGAAACAAGTAAACAAACAGACAAAAAACAAAAGACAAAAAAACCCCCACAAAGATGGTAAGCATAAAATGATTTTAAAAACCCCAAAACAAACAACAACAAAAACAGAAACAAAAATAAGACTGTTAGTCAGATTTAAGCACTCTCTGCAACCATAAGAGGAGAGGAAGAGAGAAGAAAAAAGGAAGGATAGCATTAACAATAAAAATAAATAAATAAAAAGACATAACAGGAATGCCTATAAAAAAAGGATTAAGAAAAAAGGGGGAGGCACTACCATGAAAAATATTATTCTTAAGAATATATACAAAAATACTTTATATATGAGGTGGGATTATGTTGCAATATACTTTCTAGACAGCAGGTGGCGCTGTGAGTGGTTCCCAGGCTAAAACAAACAAAAAAAGGAATCTTTGCTGGAAGTTTGCTCAAATTCTCCCTACAACAGTTCCCATAAAGTGTGGGGTGTCCTGAACCAGCTTCAGATGTAGGATGACTGGCTACAGGTGAGATTCAGCTCTCCACACTCCTGAAAGAGGTGCTATGGAGACACCATTTTTGAAATTTTACAATATGTCTGGTTCCTGGCTGGCCGCCCAGCCTTGGCTGTCCTTTTCCAGGTGACACTCCTATCTGTCCTCCAAACTCGGCACTAGAGTCCACGCCTCACCAGTTTTTCCACTCAACTCCTAGTTTCCCCTCAAACTGGAAATTGTTAGGTTCTGTGGGAAAAGAGCTGGTTGCTGGTTGCGCCAGCCGCTTTAGCGCCATGGCACAGAGTTTTCAGTCCTTTTCTGTGGGGGAGGGACTGGTTACCTCTGATTCCCTCGGATTCAGTGCCTTGCACAAAAGACTTTTCAGAGGCTGTAGGAAAGGGGTTGATTGACCTTCTCGCTGGCTGCTTCAGTGCAGCACCATAAAGGCTTCTAAAATTACAAAATGAATTGGTTCCTAAGCCGAATCCTTTCCCCTCAAATTTCTGTCCAGTTGCCTGGATAAAACCAGGTCCAGAGGGCTCCCCTTTCTGGTCGCCAAATTCCACTCAAGAGTCCACGCCTCACTGCACTCTCTGCAAAATACCCAAACTCCCCACGAATTGAGTATAGAAGTCCTTCCTGGGGGAGGGATTGGTTTCTGTGGTCTCAGGCCTCTGGCCGCAGGCCGCAAGGCACGGGCTGCAGCTAGCACTGCTTCAGCTACTGCGCTGAGTTTTTTCTGGCAGATACCACGGTTCTGTGTTACACTTCCAATCCAGCAATTCATCTCTTTGCTGTCCACCCTGCGTTGCTTGTCTGTGCCAGCACTCCACTCAGGGAAAGATCCAGCACCCCACTCTCACCTAAACCATGAGGAGAGTTGACTCAGCCATGCATCCTCTCCGCCATCTTGCTCCGCCTCCCTGCTCCGCCTCCCTGCTCTAAGTGGTTATTACTCTTCTCCTTATTTTTTTACTTTTCCCCAATATCTCACGTTATTTTTTCAAAATCTATGATGTCATTTTTTAAAAATCTCTTAGACATGAGCATTGTGCTTATAAATTTATCTGTTTTTTTCTCTTGTCTTTGAACCTTCTGAAAAGGATTGCAGATTGGAAAGAATTGGTTAATTAAATCTTTTCTTTGGTCAAAGTTGTAACAGGCTATTTTATTCTACTCTATTTCTGTATTTTTTATAATGTATTTCCTGTATTCAACTGTCTAAATGAAATGTGAACTGTTTCTGTAAATCTTTGTATTTTTCTATTAATCACCATGATATTTTAATTATATACTTTTAGATTGACTTATAATTATTATTATTTATTTTACAGGGCTGATTATATATACATATATTTGATATATAGAAGCATTATGCTTAATTTTAAAATGGTTGATTCCTAAGTGAAATGATTTAAATTTGTCAGACTGAAAAATGTCAGAGGCAACCATCATAAAATGATATCTTAAAAAAATTATTATGAAAAGAGGGTATTTTCCTCCATAATCTCTTTGCTTTTGTCTTTTTTAGGTAATCATAGCCTTCTGGTATCGCATACTCATGGGAATAATGAATTTATTTGGGCTAGAAACTAAGACCTGCTGGAATGTCACCAGAATAGAACCTCTTAATGAAGTACAAAGCTGTGAAGGCATGTTTCTTCCTGAAATGCTGCTGTGCTGTCATTAGTGTTTTCATATTTTATAATGTTATGAATCATTTTAAGAATTACTATAAACAACTCTAAATATTTTAGAACTTATTAAACTGAATGAGTATTTTATACTTTAAAGTAATTTTGTGAGAAAGCTATGTACTTATAAATTTGAGTATAAATTTGGAATTTGAGTATTAATATACCCCAGTATAAGACAATATTGCATATAAGTCAGTCTTCCATTTCAGAATGAGAAGATACAAAAAATGAGTTTTTGAATTTCAATATATAAATTTGGGTGATAGATTAAACAGTCAAATATCTGTTTGTGATAGTTAACGTATTTATTTAGTTATGTATACATACTTAAAATCAGAAATGTAATAATAGATTAATTTCAAAATTCTGCCTATAGTTTATGAATGGTTTTAATCAAATTTGTCCTATGTAGAGATTCCAAAGGTGGTGTCAAATAACAACTTTTGGAATCATCTAGCAGTTTTCTGGGACATGTAATGGCAACTTGTATAAGATATTTGCATTTCAGCAATTTTGATGCTATCCTTTGGCTCTTGTTCAAAGCCACATGTGTATACTTGCATGACACCAACACACTTGGTTTTCCTTTATTTCTTCAGGTTCTTAACAGCTTGACTACTTACTATATTTTATAAATATAATTTTACAGACTTGTTTATAATGACATTCAACTCCTAAAATATAAATGAAAGCTATATTTTTCTTACATGTTTACAGAACCCTCAGACAATCTTCATAACATCTAAAGTAGAATTGATAGGATGTTTTAGGGGTAATTACACTTTTTGTGCAATATAAAGAAATGGAGAAACTGCTTCATAAAGTGAGAGACTTTGTAATGACTCAATTGGCTAAAAGGTATAACCTTTATTGAGGGATGAAAATAGTTACCTTACATATGGACACATGTGATATTATGTTCCCAGGAAGCAATGGTTAGTGTTTGGTGGATGGAACACAAAGATGAACCAAGTAGACATGAGGTTTTACCCTCATGGTGTTTACCCCATGGAGAAATGTTAGCAGTTATGAGTGTGATGGATGTTACAAATAAGAAAATAAGATTGTTGAGATTGAGAGCAAGAGAGTATTTTAAGAATATAGACAAGCATATTCAACTGTTTCAGGTCAAGGGAACTGCATAAAGACAAGAATCCTTAGTAGAGAGAGGTAGAAAAGAAAAATGGTATGAAAGGATGCTGGGAATGGAAGCAAGATTGTGATGGCCCATACACTGGATAAGCGTTTTATCCTTTATTGAAGAATTTAAACAGATTTACATGTTAGAAAATTGTGTTGTTAGTTATATGGAAAGGATATTAGGGAAGGGCAATAATTGGTGAAGAGAGAAATTTCAGGAAAGATAACTGGCAAATGCCTGGATTTGAGAGGTATTTTGGAAGTAACATTGACAAGACTTGGCAATTTTTAACAGAAAAGGGGAAGAAGAGTGAAGAGTCATGTAACACAGCTTTGTTTTCTATTAGTAGTTTGAGGAACTGAGTTCCTTTGAATGGGAGGAAACATTTGAAAAGTAGCAGGTTTGAATTACTACATGTCATTGTAGATGTATCAGTTTCAGGTACCTCAAAGACATGAAAGAGGCTTATACATAAGAACAAGGGGAAAGTTCTGGACCAAATATAGATTTGGAGTCATCTATGTATAGATGATAATTGGAGCCATAGAAAAGGAAGAGTTTCCTTAAGAATATGCAGACTTGAGAAAAGGAAAAGAGCATATGACAGAGCCTATGGCGATTCAGTATTGAGTGGCGTATTGAACAACAGAAGTATTCAGAACAGACTGCAAGGCGTGAGCAGAGAACTGGATGGAATTGGGAGGGCTAGCCTTCAGGTCCTGGCTCCACCCACTTAAATAAAATAACCTTTTGTCAAGCTACTTACGTTTTCTATGTACTATGTTCTCAACCATAAGAAAAGTATTTTCATACCAACTAATCTTATAAATTTGTTCTGAGAATTACGTCAGATGATGACTGTGAGGCACCTACTATATGTTCTACACATAATTCCATATATGAGATATATTAAAATTGTAGTTATACATAATAAGAGATCAAATAACTGGATCATCTCATACAGACTACAGCTGTTCCTTAAATTATCCCCTACTCATCCCAGAGCCTCGTAAAAGATAAAAACAATGCTATGGATTTTCACTTATAATTCATCAAGTGGCTCTGTGGACAGTTCCAGACCCTGAACAATAGCAGCCTCAACTAAATGTGAAACTAGCCCCAAATTCATTACAGTGTAACAATACCTTCGTTAGGGGAAACTAAAATGCAACTACAATAAAGAAAAAAGTGTAAGTGTAACTGAATAATAGCTCATATAAGGGGACAGTATTAAAGTTACTATGAAGGACAGCAGCAATCTGGAAAGCAAATGCTTTCAGCAAATTCATGAGTTCCTGATTACAGAACACTGAGATAATTATGCCCACTTGCTTTTTAGTCATTTGTTCATTAAATACTGAATAATCTATGTCTTTTCAAAGGATTGGGCGACCCTGCTTGCTTTTATGTTGGTGTGATTTTTATTTTAAATGGACTAATGATGGGCTTGTTCTTCATATATGGTACACACCTGAGGTAAGACTACTAAATTAAAAAATCTTTGGGCTTATAAAGGCTGCCTGATATTTGTTAATTAAATTAAATGACATTTAATGAGTTTAGTTGTAATAGTTTGAAAATTTGTGGATTTGTGTGATGTTTCAGAAGCTTAACCATGTAACTAGAAACGAGAGTTGTAACTAATATCTTAAAGGCCTCTCTTTAATTGTGAGGGTACTTTAAAACTAATATTTCTTAATTCAATAGTTTCTGTTGAAGAACTGAAGTTCTTTTCATCAAATGTATCAGTTTCACCAGTTTTTTTCTTCATAGCTAGATCTTTGAATTTTGTTTAAGAAATCCTTTCTTATTTCAAGTGCTGATGACAATTCTTCTATACATAGTATTATATGCTAAACATTTTATACATTTGTCTTTCCTATTTAAGTGTCTAACACATATGTAGCTCCAATTTCTCTTTTGTTTGGTCCCAAAGAAGTAATAATATAGAATATAAAAATCAGAACAAAGATGGCTAATGTTAATCTTCAAAGGGTAAGAACCACTTCTTAAATTGCCATTTTGTGATTGTATGTTTCTGTGTGGATGTGTCTAAGAACACAGATGCTCAAACCCATATTTGTGTAGTGTCTCCAACGCCTCCCTAAACACTGCCTCCTGCCCTACTTTCTGTAGATGACCACATTCTAAGTGCGAGGCAGGCAGGTTCTTCATCTGTCTCGTTTGTCACTGTATCCCCAGATTCACACTTGGAAGACAATAAATATTGGTTGAATGAATGAAGAAAGGAAGGAATTCTATTTTAAAGTATGTAATCTCAAGAGACTCTTATATAGCAGGAAATATGTAGAAGAATATAGAAACATTATTTGCAATAGCATGGAAACAACCCAAATGTTTGTAAATAGAGAATTGAATACATTTTGTTTTATTAACATGGTGGAATACTAAACAACAAGAATGAATGAAACTGGCTCAGTGCCTGTGGCTCAGGCAGCTGGGGCACCAGCCCATGCACCTAGGGTGGTGGGTTCAAATCCAACCCAGGCCCGCCAAACAACAATGACGGCTGCAATCAAAAAATAGCCCGGCATTGTGGCGGGCACCTGTGGTCCCAGCTACTTGGGAGGCGTAGGCAGGAGACTCGCTTGAGCCCAGGAGTTGGAGGTTGCTATGAGCTGTAATGCCATGGCACTCTGCCCAGGGGGACAGCTTGAGGCTCTGTCTCAAAAATAAATAAATAAAGAAAGAAAGAATGAATGAAACACAGCTACATACATCAACATGGATTAGTATTTCATAATTTTGAATGAATGAATATAGATATAAAATTTTAAAAATAATGCATTCTTCCACTTGTATAAAGGTTAAAAAAAGATGAAAGTAAATCATAGGGGTGGTTATATTGATAATCTCAAATTAGTTAATGGCTGTCTCTAAGGGTAGAGGATGGGGACTTAGGGTGCAATCATTTCTCCATTTCAGTTAATTATATGGTAACTACATACATGTTCATTTTATAATTGTTCTGTAAGTTAGAAATATTATACACTTTTCTGTGTGCCATATAGGAAAAATTACATATATAGTCTCAATGTTTTGAGGGAAAAGGATTACTTTGAGATTATTTTGACAGGCTTAAAAATGTTCTATTTTTGAAAATAGTAATATTTCTTGTATAAACTATTTTTGGTTCTTAATGTGGAGGATGTTACACAACAGTAACTGAAAATGTTATTATTTATTTTTATTAAATCATAACTGTGTACATTAATACTTTTATGGGGTATGATGTGTTGATTTTATATACAATTTGTAATGCTTACATCAAACTGGTTAACATAACCCTACCTTACTTACTTATTTGTTGTGTTTAGACATATATACTCTTAATAGTTTTGACATGTACTCTTGCATTGGGCACATTAGGTGAGGTCCCACCCAATAACTTCCCTCTTCCCGGCCTCTGTCTTTCCCCTCCCACTCCCTCCTTCTTTCTAGACTATTGTTGTGTTTTGTCATTCGAAAGTATAGATGATGACGTATTTATTTCATAATAGTATTGAGTACATTGGATATTTTTTCTTCCATTCTTGAGATACTTTACTAAGAAGAATATGTTTCACCTCCATCCAGGTAAATGTAAAAGATGTAAAGTTGTAAAGTCTTCTTTTTTATGGCTGCATAGTATTCCATGGTATACATATACCACAATTTGTTAATCCACTCATGGGTCGTGGAAACTGGGCTGTTTCCATGACTTGGCAGTTATGAATTGGGCTGCAATAAACAATCTGGTGCAAATATCTTTGTTGTGAAATGCTTTTTGGTCATCTGGGTATGTACCTAGTAGAAGAATTGCAGGATTGAATGGCTGGTCTACTTTTAGTTCCCTAAGTGTCTTCCAATCTTCTTTTTTCTTTTTTTGGCCAGGGCTGGGTTTGAACCCACCACCTCTGGCATATGAGGCCGGCACCCTACTCCTTGAGCCACAGGTGCTACCCTGTTTTCCAAACTTCTTTCCAAAAAGTACATATCAGCTTGCATTCCCACCAGCAGTGCAGAAGTGTTCCCTTCTCTCTGCAACCATGCCAACATCTGTAGTTTTGGGAGTTTGTTATATGGGCTAATCTTATTGGAGCTACATGATATCTCAAAGTGGTTTTGATTTGCATTTCTCTGATGATTAAGGCTGATGAGCATTTTTTCATGTGTTTGTAGGCCATGTGCCTGTCGTCTTCACAGAAGCTTCTGTTCAAGTCTCTTGCCTACAATGAAATGGGGTTTTTTATTCTTTTCTTACTAATTAGTTTGAGTTCTCTGTGGATTCTTGTTATCAGACCTTTGTCAGAAATATAACCTGCAAATATTTTCTCCCATTCTGAGGGCTGTCTGCTTGCTTTACTTACTCCCATTCTGAGGGCTGTGTTCTTGGCTGTGCAGAAGCTTTCTAGTTTGATCAGATCCCAGTAATATATATTTGGTGTTGCTTCAATTGTCAGGAGGTTCTCCTCATAAAATACTCTCCCAGGCCAATTTCTTCAAGTGTTTTCCCTACACTCTCTCCTGGTATTTTTATGGTTTCATGTCTTAAGTTTAAATCTTTTATCCAGTGAGAATCAATTTTTGTTAATGGTGAAATGTGATGGTCCAGTTTAGTCTTCTACAGGCTGCCAGCCAGTTCAAACAGCACCATTTGTTAAATAGGTAATCTTTCCACCAATTAATGCTTTTGATAGGCTTATCAAAGATCAAATGATGATAAATGGGCTCGGTGCCTATGCCTCAAGTGGCTAATGGGCCAGCCATGTACACCTGAGCTGGCCGGATCAAATCCAGCCCAGGCCGCCAAACAACAAATGATGATAAGTGGCTGGGTTCCTCTCTTGGTTCTGTATTCTGTTCCATGTATCTACCTCTCTATTTTTGTGCCAGTACCATGCTGTTTTGGTCACTATAGATTTATGGTATAGCCTGAAGTCTGGTAGTGTGATACCTCCTGATTTGCTTTTATTTCTGAGTAATGTCTTGGCTGTTTGAGTTTTTTTCCGAAAAAATGAAGTACTAGTTTTTCAAGATCTTAATGTATGACAATGGTGCTTTTCTAAGAATTGCATTAAATCTGTAGATTGCTTTTGTGTGGATTTTTAACAATGTTGGTTCTTTCCAGTCATGAGCATGGTATGTTTTTCTATTTGTTAACATCTTCAGCTATTTCTTTTCTCAGAATTTCATAATTCTCCTTATAGAGCTCTTTCACATCTGTTGTTAGGTAAATTTCCAGATATTTCATCTTCTTTGGCACTACTGTAAAAGGAATACAGTCCTTGACTATATTTTCAGCTTGACTATTGTTGGTATATATAAAAGCTATTGATTTGTAAGTATTGATTTTCTATCCTGAGACACTGCTATATTCCTTGATTAGTTCTAAGAGTTTTGTAGTTGAATCCCTGGGGTTTTCCAGGTATAAGATCATATCATCCACAAAGAGTGAGAGTTTGATCTCCTCTGACCCCATTTGGATACCTTTGATCACCTTCTCTTGCCTGATTGCGATGTCTAAGATTTCCATTACTATGTTGAATAGTAGGGGAAAGAATGGTCATCCTTGTCTAGTTCCAGATCTGAGTGGAAATGTTTTCAGTTTTCAGTCCATTCAATATGACATTGGTTGTCACTTTGCTTTAGATGGCCTTTATCAGTTTAAGAAATGACCTGTCTAAGCCTATTTTCTTAAGTGTTCTGATGATGAGAGGGTGCTGGATATTATCAAAAGCTTTTTTTGCATCAATTGTGAGAATTGTTTGGTTGTTGTTTTTTGTTTTACATATGTGATGTATTATATTTATAGATTTACATATGTTGAACCAACTTTGTAACCCTGAGATAAAACCAGCTTGATCATGGCATATAATTTTTTTTGATGTGTTATTGAATTCTGTTTGCTAGGATCTTATTGAATATTTTTGCATTGATATTCATTAATGATATTGGTCTATAGTTTTCTTTTTTTGTTGGATCCTTTCCTGGTTTGGGTATTATGGTGATATTTGCTTCATAGAATGTGTTGGGAAGCATTCCTCCTTTTCTTTATGTTTGGGAAAAGGTTATGTAATAGTTCCTCTTTAAAGGTTTGGTAGCATTCTGATGTGAAGCCATCTGGTCCCACACTTTTCTTTTCTGGCAGATTTCGTATATTTGGTGTCTTTCAGTGCTTGATAAGATCTATTCAAAATTTCTAATTCTCTAGGCTGAGTCTAGGAAGGGGTGTGCTTTCAGGTTTTGGTCCATTTCCTTCATATTTTCATATTTCTGAGAATAGAGTCTGTTACAGTAATTATTGAGAATTTTTGAATTTCTGAGGTGTCTGTTACTTCTCCTTTATCATTTCTGATTGACAATATTAGGGATTTTACTTTTCTGTCTCTGGTTAGGTTAGGTTAGGTAAGGGTTTATCAATTTTGTTAGTATTTTCAAAAAAACAACTTTTTGTTTCATTGATCTTCTGAATG